CAGGGTTTAGACAAACGGCTGAAAGACTGTCTCAGTTCACATTCGCCTCACATTGATACATGAGGTCCAAATAGCTTTGAAGAAACTCTTTGTAAACCCATCCGATTTATGACATGAAAACTGTGATTCGCCAGTGGGGGACCCATTTTGTGGGACCAATACAGCGCGTGACGTCATCATTAGGGTGCGGGACACTGCTGAACCCGTAGAGCAAGCCTGTATAGCATGAAGGGGCTTTCATTTGCTTACTACTGAGGACTATTTAGCGCTCCTGAGGGTCCTGAGGGTGAAAGACTCCGAGAAGCAACGGCATGGGGTTTTCAATGAGGGAAGTCTCGAGGGCGCGGCGAGGACAAGCCATGACGTTGCAAAGGAGGTGCCGTACAGTGCAGACGAGTGACTTGGCGACCTTCGCTAAGCTTGGGGGCTCCTCCAACGGTCTTCGGTTGGGGTGGTTTTCACAATAAGAAAGGCAGAGCCCTTTTTGCTTAAAGGTTCTTTTAGATGAAGCCTACATTAGTCCACTCATTTATTCTGGCCATCTGCACTAGGCACAGTGGACCGGACAATATGCCAGAGTTTCTCACTGCCCAGTTGACCTCAGAGAAATCAGGAGAGACGAGAAATAATAGTCCAATTCCTACACAAGCCTGTGTTAGCTGGCATGACAAAGGAATTGTTCTATTTTAAGCTTTCCAAGGAAAGTAACTTCTGTTTTGTTTCTGGTCTCCTCTGTCTGATAACCAGCCTTCTCTGCTCTGTTCATCAGGACACTCTGGTCGACTTTATACCCTTCTCTTTTAGGGTTGTAGTGCCCAGTGGTCAAAGGACAAAAGAAAGCCAAGGTTGACAGGTCTCTGACCCATCAACCAATCAGAATTTCCCACATATATATATTCAAATTAGCCAATCTCCATTAGTCCTAACTCAATGACTAATTTACATGTAGGTGGGACCAAATTGGCTCATGACCCAGGATATAAAAACTCCATTCCTAAGTGCTCAAGTCTCCTCCCGGCCTCTGGGAGGGAGCTATGTCTGTGCTTGTGTCTGTAGCTGTTGTTTGCCTCTACTAGGCCCTGCCTCAGGAAACACATTGACCCTGAGTTCAGGACACAGCACCAATCCACATGGTAATAGAAGCTGTGGGTGTGAATGACCTCATCCAGGAAGAAGAGAATGAAAGCAAGGGTCAACTTTTTTTTTTTTTTCAACCAACAAGAAGCATTTTTTTTTTTTTTTTTAACCAAAGTAAGTTCCATGGACTGGGCCTGATGATGTTTGTAATCCCTGCAGCTGGGAGGCTGACGTAGGAGGATATTGGAGGCCAGCCAGGCTGTACAGTGAGAACTTGCCTCAAAAAGAAAGAAAGAAAGAAAGAAAGAAAGAAAGAAAGAAAGAGAGAGAGAGAGAGAGAGAGAGAGAAAGAGAAAGAAAGGGAAAAAAGGAAGGAGGGAGGAGGAAGAGGAAGGTAAAAAGGAAGTGAGTGAAAAAAAGTAAGTGACCCTGCTAAACATTTTCTTCCTTCCTTCCTTCCTTCCTTCCTTCCTTCCTTCCTTCCTTCCCTCCCTCCCTCCCTCCCTCCCTCCCTCCCTCCCTCCCTCCCTTCCTTCCTTTCTAAGACAGGGTTTCTCTGTGTAACAGCTCTGGCTGTCCTGGAACTCTCTTTGTAGATCAGACTGGCCTTGAATTCCCTGCTGACCATTTTAAAGGGTGAAATTTGGTGATGTTTAGTTTAGTCCCAGGGCTGTATAACCATCGCCATTGCTTAATGACTGGATATTTTTATTATCCCAATAGGAAATATGTGCCAGTTAAACTCCTCAGAGCCACCACCAGCTCTAGCCAACACTAAGCTCTCTGTCTCCATGGGCTTGCCTATTCTGGACTCTTCGTAATATGATTCATGACCTTTTGTCATATTTGCACAGTATTTTTAAGGTTCACCATGCTGTACTCTATATTTTATTCCTTTTTTAGCTGAAAGCCTCAATAATTTGTCTATTAATTGATAGGCAAATTGGTTGTTTCCAAGGGAGTAACTTTTTGTATTTACTTAAGACAAAGTATCTCTAAGTAGCCTAGACTGGCCTCAAATTACAACCCTCTTGCCTTAGGCTCCCTAGTGGCTATTATATATATATTATATATAATATATAATAATATATATGTTATTGATAAGGACTCACACAGTCTTATATCTAGCCTTTCTTTGGTTTAGGCCTAACAGCAAGCCAGCCCTAAAAAGTTTTCTTTTCACCACTAGGTGTTATGTGTTCACATTCGATACCCAGGGTTGACAATGAGCAACATACAGCAGCAGGCTTTGGTATGTAGAAAGCCAGTCCCTGGTGTTTATGTTTTACAGAGACCCCTGGAAATCATTCTCTTGGCTGGCTCCCTTTCTTTAGGACAGAGGCTCTCAACCTGTGGGTAGCGATCCCTGTCACACGGGTCATCCAAGACCAACAGAAAGCACAGATATGTGCACTACGATTCACAACTGTCGCAAAATTACAGTTATGAAATAACAGCAAATTAATTTTCTGGTGAGGGGCCCCACAGCACGAGGAACTGTATTGAAGGGTTGCGGCTTTAGGAAGGTTGAGAACCACTGCTCTAGGCTCATCCGTCTCTGATGGCTGCATCCCAGCTAGTTCAGTCTTGACCTGATAGATCAATTGCTTTTGTTATGTTTTGTGTGATTGAAGGACCCTCAGCTGCTGTGACAGCAAAGCTGGACAGAAGTGGGTTCCTAATGCACATCTTTACTTTCAGTCCCCTTACAAAACCAGAATGTAACCGGGTGACATCTCCGGCAAACGAACGCGAACGGCATTGAGCAACAGATTCCAAACAGAATCAGCCGCGATATCAGTAGACGTGTACAATGAGATTCTGTTGTGGGGTATTTTACCTTGTAAGAAAATGCTGTGATTCATTTAATAAGGAGCTGGACAGGAGGCATAGGTGGGACTTCCGGGCGGAGAGAGAGAAAGTGGGAGACAAATCTAGGGGCGTGAGGAGACTGAGGAAGCAGGATGGGCGGTGTGTGACAGACTGTAGGCGAATAGAAACGGGTTAATTTAAGTCACAGGAGCTAGTTAAAAACAAGCTTAATTTTTAAGCTAAGGCTAGGTTTTCATAATTAGTAAGGTCTCCATGTCATTATTTGGGAGCTGGTGGCCCAAAGATTTCCAAACGTGATTCCTTTTCCAAACTCAAGCTACAGAGTCATAAGACAGTATTTATTTGTCTACCCTGTGCCTGTATGTGTGTGGGCACCATTGCCACAATCTCCGTGTAGAGGTCAGAGAAAATCTTGTGGGAGTTGGTTCTCACCCTCTCTCTATTTTATGCTTCCCAGGGATTGAACTCAGTTGTTCTAATCTTATTAGCGGGCACCTTGACCCACTGAGCTATCCTGCCAGCTAATTAAACATTATTTATTTTTTTTATTCAGCAAACCACTTACATTCATTTACTTTTGAAGAACTTCAAGTTTTTCTGCTTGCTAGAGCTACATTTTTTTTTGTTTTTGTTTTATAGATAAACTGAAATACAGTAATCTGATGACTTAGTCACAGAAATTATTACTGGAAAAGTGAGACCCATTTTTAGAGATGTTAACATATACATACTAATGTTATATTTGTGTGTGTGTGTGTCGTAGCGTAGAATATGTGTCTGGAATATGTGTGTGTGTTCAAGGGGCCGCATGGAGGCCAGAGGGGCACACATCCTGTTTTCTGCTCTTGTCGCTACACACCTAATTTCCTTGAGACAGGGTCTCTCACTGAACCTGAAGCTAGGTTGATCTAAACCATCCTCCTGTCTCTGTACGCCCAGCACTGGGGTGACAGGTGCGCGAGCAATTACACTGAGATTCTTTTTTTTTTTAAATATTTTTTTATGGTTTATTTAACTTTATTTTATGTGCACTGGTGTGAAGGTGTCAGATCCCCTGCAACTGGATCTTTAGACAGTTGTGAGCTGCCATGTGGGTGCTGGGAATTGAACCTGGGTCCTCTGAAAGAGCAGTCAGTGCTCTTAACCACTGAGCCATCTCTCCAGCCCCTACACTGAGATTCTTAAGTGGGTGCTTAGGATTTGAACTCAGGTCCTCGTGCTTGCACAAGTGCGCTAATCCGCTGTCTCACCGGTGCCTAATGGCATAATCTTTTTGGTTGGTTATATTAAGTAGTATTTTCTTGGCATTTATGTTTCCTTGAGTCACAGTTACCATAAAATAGTATTTCTTTATTTTTCTGGGTTCTTGTTATAGCTTTTAGTACCTTCTTGTGAAAGAGGTAGTTATAGTCTAGAAGTCACAAACTGGAAGCCCAGACAGAGTGTTTTGCGGTATCACGGGATGAGACTGAGCCCTGAACTTTATCACCCTAGATGAACACTCTTCCACTCAGCACAGAAATGAGTTTGGATGGCTCCACAACTGTTTTCCTAAATGCTTGGATTAGCAAACAATACTCAAAAAAAAAAAAAAAATCAGGCCGCCCTTTAGACTCAGCACTCAGGAGGCAGAGGCAGGTGAAGCTCTGAGTTTGGGGCCAGCCTGGTCTACAGAGCGAGTTCCAGGACATCCAGGGCGACACAGAGAAACACTGTCTTGAAAAACCAAAATAAGTAAATAAAATACATAAAATGGAAATAAGGAATGAGATGGAATCTCATTGTTTAAAAAAAGCCTCCCGTTTTTGGCTTTTCGTAAACCGTTGTTGAATGCAGCAAACTGAGCGTGCATACAGCACACACTTTGCAACCCTGACCTGGCCTGCCTTCTCAGTTCTCTGCAGCTCCTGCATCTGTACAGTGCCCAACCTGGCCACTGAGAGCTCTGGAGAATAGGCCCCACCCTAATCTACCCGGCAGCTGCTCAAAGTGGTGCTGATTTCATTTTGTCATTATTTGTGTCTGTTTCCATAGAGTCTGGGCGTTCCTCCAGAACTAACGTATTGCCTTTTTTTTTTTAAAAAAAAAAAAAAAAAGTTTTTTTAGATTTATTTATTTATTTTCATTTATATGTTTGAATATTTTGCCGGTGTTAACACATGTGCACCAAAGGCATGCCTGTTGAACCCCCTGGGCCTGGGATTGCAGATAGTTGCATTATGGGTGTTGGGGAGGAAACCAGAATTCTTTGCAAGAGCCCAAGTGTTTTTAACCTTTGAGTCATCTCTCCTGCTCTGCGTATTGCTGGCTTTGTTGGCCTGTGTCCACGTGCTCCAGTGCTTGGAACAAAGACATCGGATATGGTTTTCTTCAGGGAACTCTGAAGTGCAGCCCTTCACAGGTATTCCACAGATGGGGAAGTTGATCTCGCAGGGCTGTGCCAGGCCTGAAAACTGAGAAACCCGAAGTGTGAGATTAGTCCAAGCTGCTGGGGAGGAAGTGAGTGATGGGCAGGCGTGGTGAGCGGCCTGAAGTAGGCCTGCTCAGACTTACACTGTGCAAACCCCAGGCTGGGAAGGCTCTGTGGCAAACAAAGAATCTGTTTCACCCTGTTTAACCGAATGTTTCCCAATCGTTTCCTTTCTCATTATTTTGACATCCAGTGTTTGATTTTGTAATCCCTCCTCACAGATACATTTTAGTACAAAGTGGCAAGCTGGGTTTTTTTTTTTTTTTTTTAATTATTCTTCTTCTGTTTTGTTTTGAAGACAAGAGTTTCTCTATGTATTCCTGGCTGCCCTGGAAGTTACTCTGTAGACCACATTGGCCTCGAACTCACAGAGATCCTCCTACCTCTGCCTCACAAGTGCTGGGGTTAAGGGCTGGCAAGCTGTGTTTTTTTTTTTTTTTTTTTTTTTTTTTTTTTTTTTTTTATGACAGTGGCCTAACAGCTCTCTGGTTTAAGACATAGTGGCAAGAACTTTTGGACAATCCAGTGAACTAGCGCCAAAACCACCGTGGGGACCGTTGCTGTCACTGTGATGTCATGTCCTGTTGCTTTTCTCTGAAGATGGGACAGCTTACCTTTGTTGCTATTAATCATTATGGACTGCACTATCTCAGTTTCCCCATCAGCAACTCCGAGTGTGGGAATTACTATGTTGTAGATGAAGAGATGTGCTGGGAAAGAGTCAGTTACTTGCTTTCAGCCCAAAGCTAGGCAGACTTAACGCATCGTATTCTCCTGGGGACTCACACCCTGTGTGCCTGTTTGTGTGTTGTATGTTTCTTGTGTGCTGTGTGTGTTTCTTTGATCAAGTCATCTAGGTTTTTCTTTGTTGTTAAGTCAGGATGTTGGCTGTAAATTCTTAGACCTGGAATTGTATTCTACATCCCCCAAATTTGCAATCAGACCCTGCTACTGTCTGAGGAAGCCTGGAGGACCTCCCCCCACACTCCCCACCCCCACCCGGGAACAGTGTCGTCCTAGGTTCTCAATCATTGTGGGCCAGCAGCAGCACTTGGTACCACAAAAGTACCGAGAAATCTTTGAGCACCGGGCAGTGGGGTCTGAGTCCTTCTCGTCCTGCCCGGATCTTTGGGTCCAGCTGTGTCTCTACTATCCCAGTGGGCTGGGAGGAGCCCCTGGTGTACAGGGCTCTCTCTCGCACAGGGCCTACTCCCAGAGCGTGGTTTGGAGACACACGACAGCTCCGGAAAGGCGCAGCCCGGACCCCGCTGTCATCCCTGTTGGGTGCCCGAGGTGCGGTGCGGCAAGACCTAGCGAGGATTGCGCCTAGGACAGGGCAGCCAGAACCAGCGCTGTCCTGTGCTCACCGCGGGGGGGAGGGGGCGGAAGGAGCCTGCCGCGTCAGGCCCCGCCTGGAAAGCGAAGGTCAAGAGTACATCTTGGTTCTAGGGTTTTGAAATGAAAGGTCTAGACTGTCAGATTCCTCCTTCAACAACTCCGAGGAGTCCCTTCTTCTGAAAATGGGCCTCACTGCGCAACCAGAGGAGGGGGAGGGTGGGGAATACGTGTGCCCCGGAATGTGAGCTGGAGTGAACACCCGTGAAGGATGAGGGTCTCTGGCTCAGACACCTCTCTTCCCAAACTTCCATGTTAGGGTGTGAAGTCTGGGCTACCTGCAGAGGTCCACACGGCCGGTGATCCACGACAAAGTCCGGTCTTGCACCGGGACTGAAGTGCTGAGCTCGTGAGAACGCTCCAGAGAGACACTCGCCTTCTGTTCCTGCTCTGCCCCGGGCGGTTCTGAGATTCGCTGCGGCGTGTGGTCTCTCTTACCTCTCCCTTACTCACCGCTTCTGAGCGCAGATTGTAGACCCGGAAGTTTGTCTCTGCTGACGCAGGATCGGAGGCCTCCCCCAACCGTCCGACTTCACCTAGAAGTCGGGTTAACAGCCCTACTCTGGAGAAAAACTTTCAGAGTCTAATCTGAGCTCCGGCTCAAACTAGTTCTCAGACTTCCTGGAAGTTACTTAACGCCCTCCCGACAGCAGATTCCCCTGCTGTTAAGTGGGGGGCGGGGGTGGGGTGGGGAATAAAAATAGCGCCGGTCTACCTCAAGAGCTCGGCTGGAAGGTTAAGCAAAATGATTTAAGTGGAATTTACTTCGGGTTTTAGACTATTTTGCAATGCCATAACTGTCTGACCCGGTGATTTATAAGAGAACCGGGGCTCATTTTGCTCAAAGTTCTGAAAGTTATGAATCCCACAGACATGCCACAGGTATGTGGCAAGGGATTGAGAGCTGTGTCACCCCATAGCAGAAGGGAGGAGGACAAAACGGGTAAAAATGAAGGGGCAACAGGGTCAGACTCACTTTTATTACAAAACGCGTCTTATGATAACCCTTCTCTAGAGATAAGGACGTTAATCCATTCAGAAGGGCAGAACGCTCCTGACCTAACCCCATATTTGGTTTCACCTTCAAAGCTGAAAAAATAAGAAAAGCTACCTAGAGGAAGGGTTTGTTGTGTGTGTGTGTGTGTTTTAAGTAGGAATTACAGAGTTATAGAAAATTCCTTATGGGCCAGAATGAATTGAAAAAAATATATAAAGTGGCTTGTCAATTTAGAGGCATGCAAATGCATTTATCTAATGTGTCTAAGTAAGAAGGAAGATCCACGTGGTTGGCATAACCAAAGTTTTATTATGCTGGGTGTCACCACACAGGGTTCCCACTCGGAATTCCTAACTACGGTCCTAAGCTTCTCTCCCGGAGGCTGGTCACCTGTGCGCCCTACCACAGCTGGAGGTCAAGTTCAGTCTCAGCCGGAAGTCTCCAGCCGCAGGGCAGATCAAGGCGGCGTCTCTCCAGGTGTGCAGCTCAGAGCCTTGCTCCTGGTCTCTGCTTATTGTACTGCCCAGTGCGCGTCAAGGGGTTCTAGGATTGCAGCTGGTTATCTTGAGTGACTCCACTGGGTTCTGGGTATCAAGTGAGTCTTGGGTATTGTTTGGATGGAAGCTACATCCCAGCCCCTGGCATCCAGATGTACAAAGAGTCTGGAATGTTTGGGTGGAAGTTCCACCCCAAGCCTTCTCCCCTGGGAGTTGCCTCAGTCCAGACTCCGCCCCTGAGACAACCTGTAAAACAATGACCCCTCCCCAGAGATGCTCAAGATAACTCCCACAGGGTATTTAAATTGCCCCCCCAGAGAACAAACACTTGAGTTGTGTGTCTTTCCTGGCTCATCTCTGGGGGTTGGAAAGCCATCTGGGAGCATTGGTATCCATTTAACCTGAGCGTTTTTTGTTTTTTGCTTTTTTAATTCGGTTTGATTTGGTCTGATTTGGGTTATAGCATTGGTGGACAGGCTTATTGGGGTGCAGAAATTTTTCAGGTATAGTGGGATTTCAGACAACACTATTTCAACATGTCTAAAAGGTATTTTTACAGTGTTCAGTGTACCATATGCAGAAATCTCAGGTACGTAAAGTCCAAAGAATAAAATTGGAGCCGGGCAGTGGTACTGTCCTTTTTTAATACCAGCACTCAGGACGGGTAGGGGCGGGGGGGGGGGGGGGGGGACAGAAGAAAGTCAAACTCTGAGTTTGAGGTCAGCCTGGTCTACAGAGCGAGTTCTAGGATGGCCAGGGCTACCCAGGGAAACCCTGTCTCAAAAAGTCAAAAAATAAATAAAATAAAATTTGAAGAGAACAGATCAACTATTATAGTTTTTTCCTCATTGTAGTAAGAATGTGACTGATTTGTCCTCATCCAAAGTACTTCAAATGCTGCTTTGGAAAACTACATCATTTCTCTCTCTCTCTCTCTCTCTCTCTCTCTCTCTCTCTCTCTCTGTGTGTGTGTGTGAGAGAGAGAGAGAGAGGTGTGTGTGTGTGAGTGATATCTTATTTTCAAAAGTTAGAGATGTGAAGGCTGAGAGGGAAAATATCCTAGGAGCTTTCCCTTCACTTTTTTTGAGATTAGCCAGTCCTTCCCATTTGCCCTAGAAAGCCAGTCTCTCAGTTCCAAGGACAGAGACAGCTGTTTTCAGTGGGGAGGTAAACCACTTTACGGGAACTTCAAAGTGTCAAGATATCACTTAGGAGGAGGAGTGAGAACAGGGGTGTTTATGATCCAGATACATTGTTTACGTGCATGGAAGTGTCGAAGAACTTCGGGAGGGATCAGAATCCTAGAAGGCCGCAGATGTTAAATTCCAGGTGAAGGGAGGGGAGTGGACTTTGTGGCCCTTTACCTTTCCAGTGATCCCTTGCATTCCAGACTCGGAGACACACCCACTCTCCCCTGCTTAAATTGCCCTATCCCTTTATAAGTTTCTTGGGTGGGTTTGGAGCTCAATGGTAGATAGAGTGCTGCCTGCCGTGTATAAAAATCTTAGGTCTGATCCCTGAAACCAGAAAAAGAAAACCCAAATATCCAGTTTCTTTGGGAATTACCTTCCATCTGTATTGAAAATTAGGACAGCATGTGTGCCTTTGTCTGGTGTCGCGGAATATGTGTGAACACTGTGAAGACGTGTCTCTGCCTAAGATGCCTTCTGGTTGGTTGACTTTGGGGGAAAGAGAGGACCAGAGAGGGAAGAAGACTCTAGGCCCATGAATTTTGCCCACAAACCCGGAGCCTACTAAGATGTGCCTTACTAAGAAGAGGTAACTGAGCCACGTGGCAGAATGTAGGGTTAAAAAAAAAAAATAGGTTAAATAAATTATAAGAGTTCATTGGGAAAAAAGCCTAAGCTAAGGCTAAGCTTTCATAATTATTAAGCGTCTCTGGCTCGTTATTTGCGGGCTGGCGGTCCAAAGATGGTCCAACAAGAAAGCTTGTTACAGTCTGTACCCAGGGCCATTTCCTCAACAGAAATTTGCTAAGAATCAGCTGACTCTCAGGCCCTGTGCTGATGCAGGAGACACCACGAAAGGCCCGGGGCTCAGGGTCCAGCTGACAGACTCGTATACAGAGACATATAAGGAATTGTCTTGGGAGTTTACTGAGGCAGACAGAGAAGCCAGTGGGACGAGAGAACAGCCAGGCGGCTGCGGTGAGGCAGAGGGACAGCTACAGATGTGGAGGCAGGAAAAGCTTCACCCATGACTAGTTCTCCCGGCTGATGGCGAATCGTCACCGTTTAAGTAACATGAGACCCCTTTTTATACTTTCCCCTCATCGCGCCAGAGTACTTGCCATCCTGATTGTATTTTTTGACACGGTAAGGACTTGCTTTGTGATATCTTCCTTTATTAATGAATGCAATGAGTTTATGGCATTCAGATTACTGGATTTTATAATTCATCCTATTCCACTGTATTTTACAATTGGCCATACTTAAAAAAAATATGTTTAGCTTTTATCAGGTCTGGTTGAAGTTAGTAAACTCATATCCCTTAACATTTATTTTAAGTCAGGTATATCATTACACTCATTCCAAGTCAGCAGACACCTGGCTTAGTGTCTCAGACCTCTGAAATCCCACGTTTTCACTGGGTTAGCCCCACCTTTCATATGCTGGTTTATGATCTCTAGTCGTTTTCTTTCTTTTCATTAAAACTAATTATTTTGATGTCTGTGCCTGGCACCCATGGAGCCCAGAAAATGGCATTGAATCCTCTGGGACTAGAGCTATGAACGGGGGCCAGGTGCTGGGAATCAAACTGGGTCCCCTGGAAGAGCACTCAGTGCCCTTAACCACTGAGCCACCTTGCTTTGCTTCCTTATAGTAAGAGAATGACAATATCAGTTGTGAGTTAATTTAGTTTTTTAAATTGATTTTCCTAATCTTTTATAGATTTGTAGACTACAGGCGATTTGAAGACAGTTTTTATTCCTCAGTTTTTACTGACCTGCTTTCGTGGGGCCCTCTCAAAGCATTTAACTTCATTTTCATAATTTGAAGTTGTTCTGTTGTTGTCGAGGGTTTCTTTGTGTTCGTATTTTGCTGTGTAAAGTAATAACATAAGCATGTTTTACAAGGAGCAAATGACGCTACACACATAACTCAGGTGTTCTGTATTCATTGTTAAGCACTAGTCCTGACCCAGTGAGTGTATTTCAATGCCAGTAAGCAAATTGGTACAGAGACCTGGAATTTGGAAATGGCTGTGTTAAAAAGCAGCTTCCCAGCTCTGGGTGCCCTGACCACAGGGTGTTGGAGAGAAATTCAGGAGGCCAGTTCACCCAGAGAGCTGGCTAAGCAGCGCCCTGTGAAGGGAGCTTCTACTGTATTAAAATATTGTTGGATTGAATTTCTGGGTCTGCCAGTAGGGTTTGGAGATCTCATGACACTTAGGCTTTAGCGGTTATGGTTTGAGTGTTAAAGATGCCTGGCCTGGATCTAAAACTCTCAGCCTTACACTTGGTGCTAATGGCCCACAAAGTTCATGTTACGCATTTAATCAGCCATCACTGAACCAATTTAAGGGCGTTTGAGCATATCCTTCTCCGTGGATAAAGTAAGGAGATAGATTGAGTGTGTCTAAGCTAATCTAAGAACATATTTTTCCTAGCTCAGGACAGCGTTTGAAGACTCTAAGCACCTCCTCTTAAGTCTGTGGCTCTGTGTTTTCTCCACCACACAGAACTTGAAAGATACTTGGTGGAGTCATAAAACGGATACGACAAGAAAGAATCTTAGGGTTGAAACTGAGACCTCTCTTTACCTCACTAGGGAGTCCAGACAGGAACAGCATGGCAGGGGGTCAGGGTGGGGGGGCAGATATCCTGCAGAATAGCAAGCAGAGTGAAGCCAGGTGTGTGTGTGGGGGTGGAGCTTGCTTTATCCTGGTCGGTAGGCTGAACTCTCAGAAGTTTATCCCTTCTCATAAATCCT